TTAGCGTACCTGAGTTCCTTATGAAGAGCGAGAGCCAGCGTTCTAAATTCTTTGCTAGTCCTCTTATTTTCACAGATGAGCTCTCTTGTGCAAGTCGGAAGCTCTGGTTTGCTGGGTTTCTTTGGAGGCGGGAGTGTTGTTGTTGGCCTCTTATGTTTGCTTGGACGCTCGGTTGGAGGGTGAGCCTTTGGTTTCTTAGGTTTGTTTGGAGGGAGAAGAGGAGGAGTTCGAACGTCGTAACGTAGCGAGAGAGCTTCTTCAAAGATGTTGTGTTAGAAAGCGAAACACGATTATAAGATTCTAAACTGTCCGATTACCTCACCTGGGGAGGGGGTAATAGTTGAGTTATCGCCACGAGCATTAAGTTTGTCAGTAGCCAATACAATTGTTGGCAGGACCTGAAGTCAACTCTTGAAGAGGGTTTTTTACGATGAGTATCCATTGTATATAGAGTATAGTAGTGTAGTATATATGGAGAAGCAGCAACCTTTGAACCTGGGAGAATGTAACATATCATACAAGGATTAATACCAAAACTAGCATGAACACTCACAAGGTACTTTTTATGAAATCAACCCATATAAGTTTACACTTCATCACAACTTGATATGTTCCTTGCATAGTTCTGTTGAGGTTCAATGTTATGTACAAAGAATAGAAAGGTTGATTTGATAGGGTTTAGTCAGACTGCAACATGGGCAAAGCAAGTATCAAAAATTCACCATGCTACATCTGTTTCGATACTTTCGCGGGTACTTTGGAAAAACATCTTACAAAGCTGCAGCTACCTCAGTTTGCGGCACAGACAAGTTTTATTCATAATCTAAAGGTATTCTTCACTGCCTACCTGAACGAGCAAGCCTAACAACATGATTGCCTGCTGTTCAAATCATTCGTTTGCTCTTTTATTGCCTTCGCATCCGAACAAACCTTAAAATAGGAAGCTCTAACCGAGTTTCATTAGCCGCAACTAGTGCTAATGTTTGAATTCAGAAATGAAAACAAAGTGTGCCTGTACTCTCTGGCAGTTCACTCTAATTAACTCATCACACTTACTGTGATTGCTATCCTCAATTTTCAACGTTGAAATTATCTGAAAAAAAAACGCAGATGGCACCAACCGTGTTGAACCCGTGTGCAACAATATTCTAAAATAGCCCCACAACCAAATGGATTTGAATTTTGCAAATCAAGCCGGTCTTTCTGGAACAAGTATCGAATTCAGCTACAACTTTTATAATAAAATAAATATGATATATTAAATAATTAATTATAATAAATAAATAATAATATCAAATAATAATATTAAATAATTAATTATAATTATAATAAATAATAGCAACTTTTATAAATTGAATTTCAGTTGCTCAATGAATATCCGAAATACTTCTTGATTTGAGTTAAAACAAGCGACTAGACTATGGGTTTATAAAGTATTTCTTGCACTGCATTATTCCTTCAATTTTTTCTTTTTCTCTTACCTTTCCTCTTGATACGTGGGACCCTTTTATCACCCTAGTCTCTTTCTTAACAAATGTATTTATTATTTAGAACATCTCATGCATAGTGAGTGCAACTCAAACACTACTATTTCCGTATTGGGATCACGCGCTTTGTTAGATCCTCTTGCATGCAATAAAATCTTGTCATAAGAGTCAAACAAACTAGGCAACCAATTGTATCTCTTGTTAGCTGATTTCCTTCATGAGCTAATGCACTAAGGAAAGTAGAGAGATCTGTAACACTAAAGAGCAACATAGGAAAAAATCGAATCGCTGAGACAGTTATGTCACGAAATTTGCCTTTTGGATAATGATATAGCCGATAATCAGCGACAAGTTCTACTAGCAAAGTTTCGATGACTTTTTTAACCACTCAGATCAGCAGAAAAAAAGAGAAAGTGGATGGAAAAGATAGGAGTCAGTTTGTTGATTTCAAAGCAGGTATGAACGCCACCGTCGCAGACGGGAGCCCAGCTCTAGATTTGGAAACCTGGATTCCACGTTTCTGTTCATGGTGTTATCGCCACCATTTGGTAAGAAATTTGCGCCGACTTTCCAATTATATGATCCTCCTGTGATCTTCAGACACGAACCGCCTATTCCTTGAAGTTATTCATCTTTCTGTAAATTGACGGAAACGTCACCGAGGCTAATATTCTGATTCAAGAGTGCTGAGCAGGGCTCAGCACAGCTGGCACCTGGTCAAGCTGGATATCGTTTTTAGGGCGGAAAGCAAAGGGGATATCGTTTCTACAGGGGCCGAGGCGGAGAACTGCCGCAAAAATGCCGCCGGCATGCCACCGGCATGCCATTGGCAAGCTGTCCATCAACAAACAAAGGCGTTGTTTTCAGCCAAAACGCAATAGTATGACACCAAATTTGGTGTATGCATGCGCGTTGGTGGACCGGAACTACGGGCCAAAAATTTATGAAAACTTATGTGAATGACAGCTGTGCCGAACTTTTTTCTGAATTAGCTGGCACCGTGCCAGCTGGGTGCCAGCTGAGCTGGCACCGACACTTTGCTCACATAAGTTTTCATACTTTTTTACATAAAATGTATCTACACTGTAAAAGATTACATACGAATAAGAAACAGTTTCATAATGTTCTTTTTTCAGCGTTTTATAGCAATTTGAAAACCACTCGGTCCGCTCCGCAGTCGAAAAATCGGCTTTTTCTGCTTCTCAAGATGTGATTCGACCACTTAAAAAGCTCAGAAAGCTGTGAAAAGTTCTTTCATGAAATCAGAAATGCATGAAAACACCATTTTTTACATAATAAAAAATGATGACGGGTTTTCAAAACAGGTCAAAAGGGACTTCGTACGAAATTTTCAATATCAAACGGGACTTCGTTTTGAAATTTCCCTGGTGCCAGCTCGTGCCGAGCCCTGGTGCTGAGCATGTAGTTATGAAAACAAGTGAGATATTAAATAGAAGATTTTCATCGACTGTGGGTCACCAGCTTTTCTCAAAGATCTCATCATTTGAGGCTTCAGGCTATCAAATCTAACGATTTTGTTATCCTGCAGATTGTGACCTGTTGTCCTGGGGAAAGAGGATTAAGGAGCATGCAAATTACAGTATTCATAAGCGATGTCACCCAGCATCGGTCGTGGGTGTTCACAAGCTGAGGCTGCGCGCGCGCCGCATGTGGCGGAAACGATACGCGAGCGTGATTGTTGAGCTGTCTTCAGACTTGTGACCGCCATGGGCTCACCTTGCTCTTCTCATGGTTACGTTTTCTTTATGCGAATACATTTGCTTGCGTGAGTTCATGTCTAATTGCCGTTTATACGCTTACAATTGGACATGTTTCGTTATGTAGGTGATACAATCCTCGTTAAAATGATACAACGCTGCCACGGGTCAGATTATTGTTTTGATTACTTGTAATGGTCCTGGAGCTCGAACAATTATAAGGCTTGCGTAACTAAATTCGCATTCGAATTGTGATATGCCGTTGTTTTATCTTTCGATGTGTCCTTTTGACTGCTGTCTACAAGCACATCTATTGAGTAAATCTTTGGTCGTGGTACACTCCATATCATATCGAGAGAGGGACAAATTAGGAAATTTAGGAAATTCAAGCGACAGCTCTTTTTGAACAAATTAGGTAAATGATTCTTGAGGGAAAGCGCTAAAAGTTTAGGCACGAGCTCGAAAAGGACTGCTTTAGGTTGTTTCTGTATGATATTTTCGTGGAATTGCATGAAAATATCTTACCATAAAGAGGAGGCAGCATTATTTATCAATCAGGAAAAAGCTATAGTTGCCTCAGCCAGATGCTCTCTTGCTCTATATGTATCCATTTCACTGCCCAACTTCTCGATTGCAGTCAGTCATAAAAAGTTGTGATACAACGGAACACATTGGGCACAGGTCACAAAACGAAGAAAAGAGTGACGTACAGATTTGAAGGGTGTTTGAAGGATACTGCTGACTAGAAAGCAATGAGTTTGAAACATAAAAACTAAAAAAACACAATTGTAACCGATCCGGCCATCATCTGCCACATTTAAAATTTGAATACCCTTAATGAGCGAGAAAAAAAATATGTACCATCAAGACGAAAATGCTAATATTTCAGCTGAGAAAATTCTCCGCAGGTCAGTCATTTACTCCGCTTTTTCTCATATTTCTGATATGCTTGTGAAGCTCATTACTGTCTACCCTTTCATAAACAACTGAAAACTTACTCTTAATTCTATATGCAATTTTGGTAAAGATTTCGCTCCTTCTCTCTCTGCATTTTTGCGCAGCAATGCCAGAAAATTGAGTTAAATAGATATAGAACATGTCAGAGTCTTATCACGTGGTCCCTTAGCGAACGCGATATGGCTAAGCGAAAAGTCATGATAATTTTGGACTATTCCGGATTAGGACAGATTGTATAATAGAATCACGTAATAAGTTTTAGAGATAATGCAAATGAAGATTCTGGCATACCTCATAAAAATGCTGCGAGATTATAAAACTGGGCATGTGTACATTACACCATTTGCGTTCAGTACTTATCAAGAGTTTATTTCGCTTGTGTTCTACCAGCTGGCTTGCCGGCCTCCGCCCGGCTTTGTCAAAACATGATGATAAAGGTCTCAACCATATCTCTGTACAATCTTTTCCTGTGCTATTTCTACATGCTTCTCTATTCCCGCTGTGTTAATAATCAGCATGCTCACCCCCCTTTGCCAACCCTTAGCCTCGTAGCTCAAACTTTGCAGAAAATCGATAAAACCGATAAAAGTAATCGATAATTTTGGAAGCTAACATTGTAATCAGCATGCTCGATTAACCCTGCCAACTCCCAGCCCCGCAGTCAAGTTTTACAAAACGATAAAAACCGATAAATTCGTTATGGATCGGCAACGAAAAGTAGCCTACGACACCCGCCCCTCCTCGATGTGTATACATGCAAAGTTTTGTCCAAATCGGTTCAAAAATCAAATTTTCTGTTCGTAACATACGCGTACACACAGACAGACATACAAGCAGACATTCAGCTTCATATGTAAGATTTTTCAAATCTGATATCAACGCCTACAGATGCACTTCTCAATTGTGCTCTTGCTCCTGACAGCTTTGATCCAGCAGTCCATCTGCTTTCTTGGTATGGGCAGATTGCAGTCAGTGGCTGTAAAAGGAGTTTTGGAGTGCAACGGTGTGCCAGCGAAAGACGTGAAGGTTAGACTCTACGACAAGCAGATATGTAAGTTGACTAGCAGTCAGGTGAATGAAGATTGGATATTTTTCAATTTTAGTTTTCGATAGGAGACTAGATGAAGGGAGGACAAACGTTTCCGGCAGCTTCTACCTCTCGGGAAGCAAAAGGGAAATTACTAACATTGATCCTAGGCTCTACATCTATCACACATGCAATCATAGCGGAGTATGAGTTTCCATTTTTGATTATTTGCTCTCAAGGAACCTTTGCAGCCCTGCTCCAGAAAAATTGTGATGACCATCCCTGACAGCTTCATTACTAAAGGGCGTGTTCCGCAGAAACTGTTCAATATTGGAAGAGTCAATCTTGCCGCCAGGACCAGGGGAGAAACTATAACCTGCTTGCACTAAAAGCCATGATAGTGTCAAATCTCTCTTTCATAAAACTGATCGATCTGTACGAAAAATAATTTCTTATGATATAAATTTTTGATTATATGTTCCCGACATCAAGTGCCAGAAATTTGCCAACCAAACTGAAGATGGGAAACGAAGTCCTGCTTTATCTGTTTATAAAGGTGCCGTACTCTCGAGAATATACAATTTTTCAATCGATAAGCATCATGTAGAATACGCAATTTTTGTCGCAGAAAATCGCTACAAAGGCGATCGCCTGTCGTCAATACTTACGACCGCACTTTACAAAGATATTGATCGTCAACAAGTTCACAAGTTCAATTAGTACGTATTGAAAGTCACTGGAACTAGCGGTCGCCAGTTGCTGCTACAGGCGAACCCTCGCTACCGCTGGCTATCACCAGTAAGCAACGTTCACGACCCGCACGTCGGATGTGTTTCGCTTGCAAGTGTGGTAGCTTTTAACCAATTACCCGATTAGATACGTATGGGGACAAAGTCGCTGGTTGCGAATGGCGATCGCCAGTTTCGGTAACTACGCATTGAGTAGGTATCGATTGAAAGAAAAGAACAGCCAGCGATCGATAGCTGTCCGAAGTGCGGTAGAACATTGACGATTGGCATCGTCAATCAGCAATTCCGAACATGTGTCGCACATCGGTGTTCGTGACGCGGTTTCTTCGCATGAGGCCAAGTTTACTGTATATTATAGTATATCTACAGGAAGCTCCAGAAGTCTTTAATCCTGTATTTTGTTCAGTAATTTGATCAACATAGGCAGACGGGATCTTGTACAGCTAATTCATGCCGCCCAACACATCTACGTAATCTCATAGTTTGATTCCTTCACTGGTCTCTAACAAGTCCTGCAGAACGTTGAGGAGCATCCACCATAGCAGACGAGCAGCTGACCTCGAGATTGTCTCATGCCTTCTGAAGCGAGCTCTCCAAACAGTCCACAATCTGGTAGAGGAGGGCGCAGGTCTTGGCCAACGTGATCTCAAAATATCCAAGAGGTTCCGACCTTACGATTGAAAAAGCTCCAATTTGGGAATTACTTTTCCGAGATGCAGGCGGATAAATTGTTACCAATTTCATGGGGAGATCAAGGAAACAGCAACAGTTACACTAGACGTAACTACTAACCATTGTTAAAAATTGCAAACCTCGTAGCTAGAATCGGCGACTCATTCTGGTTTGGTACTAGTGTTTCATCCTCTACGGCTTCTAAAACCTTTTCATCTCAGTAACAGGACACCACCCTAAGAATATGTGTTTCAGTGTTGAAGCATTGAACAAAGAACGGTGCTTTGTTCTACACGGTACAATACCGCTCATAATTCGTCAAAAAAGTCGCCGGACTGCGGCGGAGTGCGCCGGAGTGCGGCGGAGTGTGGTGAAGTGTGGCGCAGTGCGCCGGAGTGCGGCGGAGTGTGGTGAAGTGTGGCGCAGTGCGCCGGAGTGCGGCGGAGTGTGGTGAAGTGCGCCGCACTCCGCCACACTCCGCCGCACTCCGGCGACTTTTTTGACGAATTATGAGCGGTATTGTATATGAAGTGAGCGGAAGGAAATATACATATATTAGGTGTATAATAACATCAAAAAGTGGGCGGGGCTTACAGTTCACAGCTAAACAGCGATAAAATCGATATTTTGAGCTTAGAGAACTATCAAACCTCAAAAATCGATAAAATCGACATTCTGGAGGTTGCAAAATCCCGAAAATTGGCGAAAATCGATATTTTGGAGGTTGCAAAATCCCGAAAATTGGCGAAAATCGATATTTTGGAGGTTGCAAAATCCCGAAAATTGGCGAAAATCGATATTTTGGAGGTTGCAAAATCCCGAAAATTGTCAAAAATCGATATCCCAAAAATCGGCAAAATTGATAAAATCGATATTTTGGAGGTTGCAAAATCCCGAAAATTGTCAAAAATCGATAAAATCGACATTTTGAAGGTTGCGAAATCCCGAAAATTGACAAAAATCGATATCCCAAAAATCGGCAAAATTGATAAAATCGATATTTTGAAGGTTGCAAAACCCCAAAAATCGGCACAAATCGATAAAATCGACATTTTAAAGGTTGCGAAATCCCGAAAATTGACAAAAATCGATATCCCAAAAATCGGCAAAATTGATAAAATCGATATTTTGAAGGTTGCAAAACCCCAAAAATCGGCACAAATCGATAAAATCGATATTCTGGAGGTTTCGAAATTTCGGAAATCGGTAAAATTATTGAAAAACTAAGCGAAAAATTCGAAAAACTCCATAATAAGCTCATTTCCAGTGCTTTTATACAGCTGAAACTTTTCCAAGCAAGCTCCGCCCACTTTATACCCCACGTCACGATCGAAATTGAAGAAAATAAGAAAAATTAAGAAAAAATAAGCGAAAATCGCGTTTTTCTAGCCCGATTTACCCCCTTTTTTAGCCGTTTTCAGCCCCTAACCAGGTCCAGATGGCCGCGGGATAACTGTACACGAAGCGGTATTAAAGAAAGGGGGAAAAATAAGGGGGGAGAGAGAAAGGGGGGAAGAAAGAGGAAAAATCGCGTGTCTAAGTTTTTTTTTAAGTCCGGGAAGGTTTATAGATAGGCTCCCACAGCCGGAGCCCCTACATTTTCTCCGAATTATATGTGGTGTCCCCCTCGAATACAAACTGAAGAATGGCTATCCCAGCTCGTCATCCCTACTCTCCGCGGAGATAAAATTCAAAATATGCACTATCGCCTTTATATAGCGCCTCTTACGCTGGAGCTGTGAGCACGAGCTACCCCTAGAAAAATAGAGCTACCAAAACTACATGTCAATGGCCACATGAGATTACCCCAGCCCTGCAACTCTTAGAGATATAAGGCGCCGAAATCGCCCTTATTGACAGATTTCCCAAGTTCGGCTGTCAATTAGGCACTTTTAATGGAAATTTGTTAATCCACGACCTTCTCTCTAAAAATCATATTTTCAGAGATCTGTCGAATAGAACAAACCCCAGCCCCGTAGCTGTAATATTCGCGGAGTTATTAGCCCCCCAACATGCATGCTCAGGCCGTAAAATCGGCTCTCCCAAAGTTGCTCCGTAATTCCCCCAAAAATCATGTTAGACACCTCTCTTATACCTATACACACCATATTTTTTCCAGCTTCTTAGAAGCAATACACACTGATATAGCGCGCTCTTGGCCTCTCGCTCCTCACTCTTGGCCTCGGCGTAAGATTTGGTTAAAATATTGAAGTTCTCGGATTGACTGTAAACTTCACTCATAGTGGTTTTTGGTCCCGATCTTTACGAAAATCCTATTTATTTTGCACTAGAGAGTCTTACAGTAAAGCTAAAGTGAGATAGAAGTAGCTGGACCAACCAAGATCGCAACTTCGCCTGCACTTTTCCCCTACCTGTTGCGGAAATTGTCTGCAAATTTTTGTGAGTTGAAAACTTTGTGAACACCTCTATCGGACCATGCTTAGCACAGATCTTTATTTGAATTGTTCGTCAGATTATGATGTTACAAAATCGCCTTCTCATGAATTGTCTTTCAAATTCGAAGGTCGTGTAATTTGGCAGATATTCTATCCTACAATGTGCCACCAGCAGCAAAACAATATAAGAAATGTTGTTAGCACGTCGAGTACAATACCGCTTACAGAATGTGCAAAATTTCCCTGAATATCGCAAAATTCCTAAAATTCCATAACAGACTGCTCTACATACAATACCGCTCATAATTCGTCAAAAAAGTCGCCGGACTGCGGCGGAGTGCGCCGGAGTGCGGCGGAGTGTGGTGAAGTGTGGCGCAGTGCGCCGGAGTGCGGCGGAGTGTGGTGAAGTGTGGCGCAGTGCGCCGGAGTGCAGCGGAGTGTGGTGAAGTGCGCCGCACTCCGCCACACTCCGCCGCACTCCGGCGACTTTTTTGACGAATTATGAGCGGTATTGTAAATGTGAAGCTAGCTACATAATATGAAACTCAGAGATCAACGAAGGGTCTCCAGGCAAAGAAGTTTTGTACGATTGAACAATGGGTACTATTCAGTTGGCTTAGGCTCAAAATCGTAATACTGTTTGCTTCCTGAACTATTATTTAGAAATGCATAATGCAATCAATCAGCATTATTATTTGTGAAGTGCTTATATACTTACGACAAACTCAGCTGAAAAATTTGACTCGAAAATGTATGACACTAACAAAGTTACAGCGTTGCAGCATCAGGCTTGCAGGCAGTGTTCCGGCAGAATTTCGTTTTCCAGTTTTTCACCTTTTTGGAGACTTCTCGCAGAGGAATCCGTATCTGAGCTTTATAGCGCATAAAAATGGCGAAAATAAGCTTTTTTGAAGCCTTCCAGGTATTCATCCGGTGAGAAATACGTGTAACTGGGCGGGGCCGGAATGAGGGAGGCGCGGTGTGAAAGGCTTCCGGCGTATTTCCACGAATGCGAACATGGAAAGCTTCGAGAAAGCTCATTTTCGCCACTTATATGCGCTAAAAAGCCTAGATATAAATTTTACATGGCGAAGATTTCGAGAAGGTGAGAATTCGGCAGCGAATTTCTGCCGGGACGCTGCGTTCAAAACTTTTAGGACACCCTATAGTATATGTTTCATAAATACTTCAACTTTTGACGTTATAAAATTAGGCACATGATTCGATTCATGAAAGATTTATATTAGACATAGCGATGCGCCTACACGGAAGGAACTTACTAACAGCTTTGTAAGTAGAAGGAGGAGGGGGGAATGCACCGCAATTCAACTTCCTCCCTCCTCCTCTCAAGAAAAAGAGCAAACTTTTCAAAATGCCCGCAAGCAAGCATTCAAAAGATAAAGATAAAAATCTAATAAAAGCTCCGCGCAGCAAGGTCGTTTTTCTTGTTGTTTCTTCAGATGTTTCTGCTACATTATTTCACAAGTTAATGTACATAAAGCGTGTTTTATTTGCTTTTCAATTTAGCAAAACAAAAATGCGACTTGTTTACTCTAAGAGTCAAAGGAAAGACAAGGTTTGAGGTAACAAAATTACCAAGACGATAAATCTTATATATAAAGCTGAATGTCTGTTTGTCTGTATGTCTGTCTGTATG